ACCGTCAGTCAAAATGACGGACTGCAAAAAAAGTCTAGCACAACCTCTGGTCTTGACGTACCTCAAAGAGGGTTTTCTTCAATTAAAACGGTGCTTTTAGGTTTTCAAACTCATGTTGTTGGTTAAGTAAACCCAGTCTGCTCTCATCCACTATGTTTTAAAATGCCTCCAGGAACTAGAATTGTGTCGAGATGTGTTTGTATTTAATCACTTTATCATTTCCACCAAAAAAAAAAAAATTAGCCTTTGTTTTTATTTGTAGTTAAATAGTTTTTATATGTATGCATGGTCAGTTTTAATGAAGATAAATCTTTTTATTTCAGTTCATTTAGTTTTTTTTTTATAATCTTTGTCATATTTGCACATTTCATGGAAAAATTGATTTTATATGTGAAGAAATGTTTTCCGTGTACTGCAACAATGAAGAAATAATAATAAAAAAAAGATTTAAGTGCCAATTATTCCACATTTTTTCTTCCTGTTAGTTTTTTCTTGTTACTTTGACTCATCTCTCTCTCTGACCTCTGTCTTCTATCAGTCAAGGGCTGATCTTGGACTTCGTGTTGACCTCTGACCCCTGGCCCAAACCGACTTCAGCGGGCCGAGGCTGCCGTTGACCCGCTCCCGGGAGGCCTYGACAGCCGTGCGGTTTCTCTTCATTAGCAGAAGATCACCCGTCGCCCTCGTAGCGCACATCACCCCCCTCGAACGACAGCGGGGGCCCACCCACTGAGGAGGTCAACTCAAAACAGAACATGTCAGGAGCTGAACGTGTGTGTGTGTGYGYGTGTGTGTGTTTGGGAAACAGTGGCAGAAAGATTGTTAAACGGGTTGAGGAGTCAGCAGGAAGAGCCAGCGATAGGCCGCATCCATCCATCACCAGACACGACCAAGAGCTTGTTTATAAACACTCACTGTCGGGAATTTCTTAATGAGACGACTCCGGTTCTTACAGGCGGGGGAAGACGGGGACWTTTTTGACTCACGGTTGTCAGTTCAACACAAATAAACGATCACACGTGGCAAAACTTCACATTTTATTTCCCTCAATAACTGTTTTGTTTATTTATTCTTTTTTTTTATTTCCTCCCCTCAGATTTCCAGGACAAACTCCTGCTTATGTGTCTTTGAAAGGTTGTGTTTACTTTGTGTGTCAGAGAGAGAAAAAGAACAGAGGCAGTCCTGCTCGCTCGCCACAATACCAAAAAAAAAAAAAAGAGGAAAAGCTGGACGTTGAAGATCAGTGCGCAGCGGGAAAACTAATCACAGGTGAGTTATTGAAGTGAAATTAATATACTGAATGAGAAATTGTTTTTTTATGGAGTTCTTATTGCTTTGTTCTATATTAGTTATGTGAGAATAATTACATTTAATTGTTTTTTTTTNACACTACAATCACCAAATCTTTTGATTTTCAATAGCAGTGGTTCTCAGGTTTGAGTTCTTGAGAGGACTTCCAGAAAAATATAATTTGCTCAAATTTTGCTGCAATTTAAGATAAAAACGTGTTGTGAGAAGTACATAAGTACATTTTACTTTGRTCATTATTGTCCTTATTTAATAGGCTTGCGTTAACCTAAAACAGTTGGGCTTAAAGTTTTATGCCTTTTCTTATTTTGTGTCTCAGAAACTGAAACGTTTGTTCTGGTTCTGCTTTTGTCCAGAACTGAAGAGCATTTATCAAGTCAAGTGTCTGCACAATGTTTTTAGGAAGGAGAAGAGAAGGAGCAATCAATAAAACAATAAAAAGTCTCGGCAGAACAGAGGAAATGGTTTCAAACAAATGCTTTAAGTAAGCCTTTGACAATTTACATTCCTCCCCATGCGAGTGAGCCACCCCCCCCCCCCCCCAATCCAGACAGAAGTTCTGGACTTTACTCAGTAAATCCAGGGGCCACTTTAATGTGAGCGCTGCGAGCAGAGCGTCAGTAAACAGAACATGTTATCGAGCTGCAGCTTCCAGCCAGGAGCTGCCCGATAAGGACAGGAGCTGACCGAGTCCAGAGTGGGATTTATGAAGTGCTGAATTTATCTCTGAGTTTGTCTTGTGAGTGATTTGGGACTAACGAGCTGAAGGGTTTGAACGTACCACCAATTTAGAAAGAGTGTTTAGAAAAAGCCCAAGTTTGTGTATTTTTGGCTGCCAAGCTAAAGATTTCAGAGGTCCAGCTTGTGCGTTTTCTCGTGTGGATGTTTGTTTTTCGGGATCTTGATCCAGTTAAATCTCAGAGGCCAGTTTTCCTAATTACTGTTAATGTGTGCGTCCCCTAAAAGTCACCCCCCCCCCCTCATTTTCCTCTCCCTCTTTCTGACACTCTTCTCCCACGAGGCAAGACCTCACAGTTAGGCCTGTGCTCCATGTGTCCACAGTGTGACACCTCCAGAAGATCCATGGGGACATTTGGACCCTCAGATCTTGTCCCCCATCATTTAGAGCTGTTCTCATTCCACCCATCAGAGGTCAGCCATTCTTAGATGACGGTTTATCATTGGTGAGATTTGTTTTGCAGCAGATGATGGAATAAAACAGAGAAATAACTATTTTATTTAAATCCTTTCAGATAACCTCATTGAGACATCGTGTCGTTCAACAGGCCTGCTAAGTGAACACGCGTAGTTCTGATGAACTCTGTCACCAAGACATTAAAAACAGGATGATGTCATTTTTCAAATTKATTTATGAAACTTGTTACAAAATAAAAGCTGCACGTTATAAAAGTTGCATCAAAGTTCTGAACATTGATAATATATTATAACGGGCAGCTGATTCCAAGACCTGGGGGGACCAGAAGCTCAAAACGAGTCGATAGCAACAGCAAAATAAGCTGATTTTTCATGTGCAAAACTCACATCCTCAGCTCCACTGCTCATCCCACGAATGCATGATCCTTACAAATGTGGCACCGTTTAAAAGGGAATTTTTTCAAATGTGCAAGATTTATCGCCAAGAAGCATTGTWACAACAAAGAAATAATCTACCAAACACATAATTAATTACTTTTTGTGCTAAGTTTATTTGTGTGAAGGTTTATCAAGCATTCACACAAGATGATCCGTTTGTCTTCCATATGTTTTCCAGGATGTGTCTCCTCCTTGTGTATTTCAACAATTTACACATCTAAAGGTTCAGCTCCTTCAGAGCACTCGAGTTAGGACTTTTGATATTTTAGATACTTTTAGATACTTTTTCTGTCAGTTTTTTTTTTTTCTGTTTAAGAATGAACGGAGCTTTATTCAGCCTGCTTGAAATCCTTCAAAATAGGATAAAATCTTTTCTGCACTTTTCACATTTTGTTCTGGATCTTCCTTTTTAGCTTCTTTGTGCTAATTTCAGCTTCCTTCTGCTTATTATCATTATTATTTTGTTAATTTTCGGGTTTTTTTCCCCCTTTTCAGCTATTCTGCTAATTTAAAACGTTTGCACTGCTCTCCTCTTTCTTTCAGCTATTTTCAGCTGCTTTTTTGCTAATTTCAGCTGTTTTTTGTTGCCATTTTAGCTACTTTTTAGTTTTTTCAGCTAAATTCATATTTTTGTGGAAATGTCAGCTACTGCTTAATGCGGCAAACTTTGTATCAGCATTTTAGCTACTTTTCTGCTAATTTTAGTTTCTCCCTTCCCTTTTAGATATTCTAATTTAAACAGTTTATACTTCTATCATCTTTCTACTTATTTAAACTTTTGATGCTTTGTTCAGCTACTTTCTGCTAATTTCAGTTGTTTTAGCTACTTTTTAAGCTTTTTTCAGCTGAATTCATCTTTTTGTGAAATTGTCAGCTTCTTACAGCAAACCTTTGCCCTTTATGATTCTTACTTCTTTCTTTTTTTCTGCATTTGAGCTACTTTTCTGCTAATTTCAGCAGTTTTTTTGCAATTTTAGCTACTTTTTAACCTTTTCAGATAAACTGATCATTTTGTGGAAATGTTAGATTCTTACTGCTTAATTCAGCAAACTTCTGCTCTTTCTGCTGCTTCTTTCRTTAGAAACTTCAGCATTTTCAGCTACTTTTGTTAATTTCATCTTTTATGGCTGTTTTACAACAAATCAGATTTTTCTTTCCTGCAAAACTCTTTCATTATTAAGCGTTCAATGCTTGTGTTCTGTTAGCGATACATGCAGCCACATTCCTGCTTCATTCCTCAGTGAGATTGATTGTGATGGTACCATAAAGGCCCTCAGAGTAATGAGCTCTCCCTCTAACCCTCTGCCATGCACCAGTCAGTCCCAGCTGAGTCAGGGAGCAGGGTGGAGGGGAGGACAGGAGGACGCCATTTATCCTCAGTGAGCGAGCTGCGTGTCAGACGGCCCTCCTCGGAGCTTCTCAGGCCCGTGCTCGGGCCTCGGACCCTTTCACTGCAGCTAACCGTCTGCGGGGGAGGCAGAGGTCCCTGAGACCCTTTAAATCTCACTGCTGTCTAATATTAACTGCAGCACAAACAGAACGGCGGTAAACAAAAGGGCAGAGTCAACACACTCCTGAGTCTGGAGGACAAACACGGGCAGCAGGTATGTTAAATAGTTACAGATAAACCTCGTTTTCATAGTTTAGTGTTTAAACCAACTTTTTATTCCGCCTCCAACACAAGAAGCACAGAACGTCTCTCCCTCTGCTCATGTGGGAKAAGGTCACCGTCTTTCCTCTCCGGTCCGTGCAGTCCAGCTGTTTGGACCCCGGCTCCAACCCCGTCCTTCCTGGGTGTCCCTACTTTCCCTTTTGTCTACCCCCTCAGGGACTCTTAAACCCTCCTCCAGCACTTCATCAGCCTCTGACGAAGAGCCTCAGCTGCACTCTTCCTCTCTGACGTGGTTTTTTTTTTTTTTTTAATAGGCTGGAATATCAGCTGGGACAGCTAAGAGACCTGAACCCATCCTGGGGATTGAGGAATGTCTCCTCACTTCCCAAAGCCTTCATAATCTGTGTGACTCCTCTGAGTAACTGGGTGTTTATGTCTTTGTGTGTGTGTGTGTGTGTGTGTGAGAAGATAGATCCTGTATTATTAGCCGGAGAGAAGATTTTCTGTCCAGATGAGAGAGTGGACGGAGCCTGAGATGAGCTTTTCTGCAGGGGGGTTTCTGTCCCCCTCGGAGGGTTACTGCTCCACAGAGCAGCTCCAGTACTACGGTGAGTCCACCTTCACCGTCCGGCTCCTTCGTGATGATTTCACTTTTTCTTCCCCCCTCTGTTTTGTGCTTTTGAGATCCTAAAGATTTGAATGTTTGATCTGTTTTAATCGGTCATCGTTTCTATTTAGTGATTGCAATTTGATTTACTGTCATAATGGAGCTAAAATTCAGCTTTCTAAAGTCCATTAGGAAGTTTTTTCAGTGTCTGCGTTTCTGCAGATTATCCTGGAAATACAGTGTTAAACGTGGTGTAAATATTACGATTGATTTCTGTTCAATAATCTCACCRTAACACGTAATCTGAGCGTGAACGTTGTACAAGATCTTTGTTTAAAACGCGACTATCAGAGTCCACTCTGTTAGCAAAATATCTCTTCAGTAAGTAATCGGATGTGTAACTGATGCAGCTAATCGACTTTAGACATCACAAAAAGTTTTTAACTTGGTCACATTTGCAGATAGAGGTAAAATCAGTCGTGGAAACAGCCGAGAGTTGCAACACGTACTCCGAGCGCGACATTTCACAATATTTTATGAGATTGTTCTTTTTTTTTTTAACATTTGATTACAACAACTACCGCTCACCTTCGGACCTGAAAGGTGACACCTGATCTCGTGTGAAATATATTTTGTCAGCTCATTTTAGTTCAATCCTGACATTTTAAATRAAGAAAAAACAGCTGTTTCCGCCTTCCCTTTTACAGACGAAAGGTTTACGTTTATATCATTTGAATAACCRTTTGAAAAATGCATCATTGGATCGTTCCGGACCCCCCCGACAGCGGATCAATGAATCAGGAAGTTCATCTGTCTGAGTTTGCATCAGAGGATCTATTTATACTGAAATGTATCATGGACATATTCTCCCTGTATTGGAGGGGGGGGAGCCACGGGGGGTCGTTTACTGGTGTCATTTAGCTCCCTGGCGTGCGTGGGATGCAAGGGAGGCGTAGGAGTGTTTAGACAGCGCACAAATGGTTTACAAACAGTACGAATCGCAGCTCTGTCACACGCCAAAAAAATAAGAGCCCCCCCATCCTCCCTTCCCATCTAACCCCACTGCAAGCATCATCTGGTTAAGAYGGAAAACATCTGGATAAGTGGAAGAGACGAGTTAAATATGAAGTTTTTTGTATGCATTCAGACGGAGTAACTGAGTTTTAGGACCAAATTGTGTTGCACGAGTGCTAACATCTGAGCTACAAGCTTTTATTTTTTTGACGTATTTTGTTTCATACATGAGACAGGACAAAGCAAGGATGATCAGTACTTTTAAAGTCAACAAAACTTTTTTTTTTTTGACCAAAACATCTACTGCGTGAAAACCAGACGAGGCAGTAAAGCTCGATGGTCGACTGCAGAGAAGTGAAGACGGAGACTGATTGGACTGAAGCTGAGGAGGAAATTGGAAACAAGTGGCTTGATGAGAACAGAGAACATGTGCTGAGGGCTAGCTTTAGGTCTACCTGTTGGGTGGAGTTATGCTCTAAAACCCAGCATGTTATTTTCAACATAAACATATACTGTATGCATCTGGATACACATATAACATTGTAAATTTTTAAATCGGCATACATGTCAAGTTATGCGGATTATCTGTAATTTATACCGATTTTTTCACACATGTAGCAGGTATACGGACGTCTAATTTCACAGATTTTTTTCAAAAATAAAGTTACAAATTTATTTTATGTCTCCGAACCTCTGGGATGTTTAACAAAACCAATAAATAACCTCAAATAACCATCTTCCAACCTGCTCTGCCGCTATAAATAAGTTCTCCCCTCCTCATTTCCTGCTGCTTTGCTTCAGACGCTGTCATCTCCGCGGCCGACAAGCCGTCTGCTGACAGCAGTGAGGCACACCTGTTCATGTTAACAATTAGCTGTGGAGTGAAGCAGTTCTAGGGTGGGTCCAGGGGTACACTCTCCTGGAAAGCTTATTTAACCCACATAAACATGAGTAACCAGTGATTATTCTACAGAATAAATCAACTATACACTAAAAAAGGTATCTAAATTTTTTTTTGTCCTCCATTAGCGGCGCCCCCCTAGATGGATGGAGTCCTTAGCATTTACCTATACTGCCCACGCCGCAGGCCGGACCTGCCAGTTTGTAAAATTTATCTAAAGAAGCCAGCAGACTGTGCTGAATCCTCCTTCTGTTCCAGTCTTCTTCAGCCATAGATAAATGATGAGGATAAATGTTCTGTTTTTAGGAGAGAGTCCTCAGAGTCTGGTTCTAGGGTCCATTTAATCGGTGTCTAACAGGCCACAGAGCAGTTTTTGTTTGACCCAGTCCAGCTGGACTTTCATAAGCTGCCAGCGACCACACGTGTTTTCTCAGTGGAGACGACTCAACAACTGTCCATCAGAGACTAAACTAATGAGACGGAAAAAATAAAACAACAACAACAAAAAAAAGGGGGATCAAAAAGCTCTAAATGGCACTCGGAGTTCTCAGCTGCATCCTGTTCCTGCAGTCTGAACAAGTTCACCAAGTTTCATTCATCAGTTTTKTTTTCTTGCTTCAACATCATAGAAATGGTGAATTCATTGAGTTACGTAAAATCCTGATCCTCTTCGACTTGAACCGGCGTCATCGAGTGTCCTGAAACATTCAGACAGTCTTTCTTCTGTGCATTAGTCTAAATATGACAAGGAAATTATTTGATTATTTGTTATTTCATTATTTATTTCATTATTTATTATTTATAATGTTCTTATGAACTTGTTTTATGAATTTTTATGGGTTTTTAAGAGTTGTGCTTGATGTGTTGTTTTGTATATTACATGTCTAATGAGCCAAAGACAAATTCCCAATGCGGTGGACATTAAAGTTTTTTCTATTCTATTCTATTCTATTCTATTCTATTCTATTCTATTCTATTCTATTCTACTCTATTCTACTCTATTATTAAGGGGAGCCAAGCATTCGAATGTTCTCACCTCTTGTTGTGATTTTATGTATTTTTAGCTTTTATTTTCTATATATTTAAATGTCAGGTGGAAGATGAAAGTTATCTTTGGTTTTGAAATGCAGTTTTGTCAAAATAATATACATAAACTAGAAAAACAAACCATCCATCAGAATTATTGTGTCTCGTGATTTCTCTTTCAGACATGCTGGCGGAACCTCTTGGTTATCCCCTCCAGGACCCCGACCTCCAGCTGCTCCCTTACAGCCAACAGCAGTACCTCCCTGCCAACCTGCCCTTCTCCCTTTACAGCTCCCCGTCTTCCTCCACCCCCTCACCGTCCTCCTCCGCCTCGTCCTCTCAGCTCTGCCACGCTCCGTACCAGTACAACCCTCACTGCCTGGAGCCCCCCTGTGACCCCGGACCGGACCCGCTCTCCGGGGCTCTGGCTCACGGGTTTGGGGTGGTGCCTCTCGGCCGGAGGTCCCGGGTGGGACCGGCAGGGAGGAACAGAGGTCAGGACGAGCTGTGTGTGGTGTGTGGCGACAAAGCGTCGGGGTATCACTACAACGCTCTYACCTGTGAAGGATGTAAAGGTATTGATATGATTTGATTTGATTTATTTATTTAACAGGAAAAGATTATTAAAAATCAAGCCTGACTCAGCGTAATTGCTGTTTTACAGCAGGTTCCTGTTCTGCAGCACATAAAACACTCAGAATTACAGCATCACAATCACATCATTATACACCATAGACACAAAGGCAAACAAGCATAACAAATTTCAAAAAGGCAGCATTTGCAAAATAAGACGTCTAAATATGAGCACAACAAAAAGTGTCCAGCAGATGGCAGACAAGATTCTTCTTAAAGGGCTGTAGTTTTGAAATGGACTTTATGTTTTGAGGAATGTCRTTCCATGCTTTAGTATAAACATAGAAGAAAGACCTCTGGCCGTAACAGTTTTTAAAAGTTGGTAATATCAKTTGTCCTTTTGTAACAGATCTAGTTGAATGACCACTTCCAGAATTTGATTTGGGCAGCAATGCACAGAGAGTTCCATAATTGGCACCTTGGAAGATCTGAAAATATAAATTAATACCACTATACAAAACATAATTCATATATGTATATACATATAAACATACATGTATATTTATGGACTCAAACTGCTTCAGCGAACGTTCAGCTGTTTCAGTCACGAAGGCATCAAAATGTTCAGCTCATTCAGGACGTCACAGCTAGGAATTTAGGTTTTTGTAACTACTGTACTTTTAAAGAAAATTATCTTTTTTTAATTTATTGTCTTTAAAATTACTGGGAAAGTCTTCAGAAACATTAAGGCTGTAAAATATATTTCAGTATACTTACTTTATTTTTAGCTTTTGCCCACTGTTTTGCTAATTTTAGCTTCTAGTTTCAGTGTGGCTATTTTTAGTGTTTACATATTCTTCTGTTGGTTTCAGTTTTTATACTACTGTTTTGCTATCTTTAGCAAAGGTTGTTTTTGTTAAAAAAATTTACTTTGTTGTTAATTTTAGCCTTTAGCTTTTGTTTATGTAATTTTAACTTTTAGGTACTGATTTGCTAATTTTAGGTTTTTGCTACAGTGCGGATGGTTTTAGCTTTAAGTTACTGTTCTGTTGATTTCAGCTTTTAGCTACCATTTTGTTTATTTACATATCGAACTACTGTKCTGCTAATTTTAGCTTTTAGCTAAAAGTTTTGCTAACTTTAGCAACTCTTTTGTCAATTTTAGGTTTTGGCTTTGGTTTACTGTTTTGCTAATTTTAGTTTTTAGCTACAACGAGAATGTTTTAGCTTTAAGTTACTGTTCTGTTGATTTCAGCTTTTAGCTAAAAGTTTTGCTAACTTTAGCAATTGTTTTGTCAGTTTTAGATTTTGACTTTGTTTTACTGTTTTGCTCATTTTATCTTCTTTTCTTATTTTAGCTTATGTTTTGTGATAAATTTTGTTTCTGTTCTGGTGGTTTTAAATTTAAAATGATGGTTTCAGCTTCATTCAGGCCTCAGCGTTCTGACTGGGCTTTGATAGTTTTCCAGTTTAAAGGTCTTCCTGGGTTTTTTTATTTTACCTGCAGGTTTCTTCCGGCGCAGCGTGACCAAAAAGGCTGTGTACCACTGTAAGAGCGGCGGCGGCTGTGAGATGGACATGTACATGAGGAGGAAGTGCCAGGACTGCCGGCTGAGGAAGTGTCGGGCCGTAGGAATGCTGGCTGAATGTGAGAAAATCTGAAAAAAAAAAAAAACCTGAAGATCTAACTTTATATAACCAGAGAAATGGTTACTGGTGATAGTGAATGAAATATTTATGTTTCATTAAAGTAGTTTATTTAATGTTTTTTTGAATGTGTTTGGTTTTTTTTAATCGCAGGCCTTCTCACAGAAGTACAGTGTCAATCCAAACGACTCAGAAAAGGAGGTAAAAGCCGAGGGCAGGAGGAAGAGGAGAACACAGACAGTAGGAGGGTCAGCTCTACCAGCAGGGTTCTTGGACAGGTACCCCTGCTCCCTGTTCAGCTAATGATTGGATTTTAAATAGTTTAGCACAGTTCCATCAGTAAAGCATGGCGGTGGCAGTGCCATGAAATGGGATTACAGTGCTGCGTTAATGTCAATGCACTTGTTTAATCCTCCATCGCGTTAACTTCCATCCGCTCCAGGTTCTGTCTGTCAGTTGGACCCGGGAGCAGAAATATACCGTGGACAAGATGGTGGAGGCTCACCGGCAGTTCAGAGATCACGACAGCAGCAGTTTCATGGTCGGTCACTGTGTATAAAACAGACTTTCATACGTTTCTGTTGTGCTCATGTCGTCTCTTGTTTACATGCGGGGCAGGTGTCTGACTGGCAGTGTGCACAAGACGGGGAGGGTCTGTCTGAGGTTGTACCCCCCCACCAACAGAGGCTGCTGCAGTTTGCCAGAACAGTGCCTGGTAGGAGTGATCTGTCATCTTCAACATATATCATCAGTCATTTTAYAGTATTAAACTACCAAACAGAGGGTATTATAACGTCTCTGAGTTGTGAAATCACYTGGATTTCTTTAAAACCAGAAGTAGAAGTTCATTGAGCTCCAAAGTACATTCATTTGAGTRTTTATAACAGAAAAGGTCACAGACTTTGTATTTTTTTAAACATATTTAAATTACTTAACGGGGGCAGGTGTCGTCCTCTACATTGTTTTGACAGTAATAAGTTGAACAAAATGTTTTTAAATGCACTCAAGAAATGAACAGAAGGGAAGAATTTTAAATTCTTTGGGGACGATTTCACTTCCCTGGAACAGATAAAACCCCATACCACTGAACTACCACCGCCGTGCTTTACTGATGAAAATCAAACTCGCTGCCCTCCCTGCTAAAATACTGTGTTTATTTTGGTTCAGTCAGACCACAAGTCAAGATATTTACTCCCACAAGCAGCTGTAAGTCAAACTGGTTGTTCTGCAGCCATTTTTAGAGAAGTGGCTTCTTCCTTCATCCTGTGCAGCKCTGCGGTCTCATGGTGTTTAAACTTCATAACTATTGTTTATTATAAAGAAGATAGTGTTTTTAGTTGTTTTGATTCAGCTGTTCTTTTAGCAGTTTATTTTACATTTAGCTACATATAGCTTTTAGCCATTTTGTCTATTTTTTGCTTTTCGCTAATGTTCTGTTTCTTTTAGCAGCACAACTTAGTTTCAGCTTCTTGGAAGAGCTACTTAGCTCTATTTGCAATGCCTTTATTTATTTATTTTTTATTTTGTTTCTCTAGTTTGAACRGCTTTTAACGTGAGAAGGCAGGCCTCAGGTCTCAGAACCTTCTGACCTGTTATGATTGTGAAAAATGTGAAAAATTGATTTTGATATTTTCACAGAAAAAAATAAAAGCTGTCATTTGCGGACATGAAACATGTTGGTTACAAGTTTGTCCTCACCAAATGCCAAATTCAGACTTTAAATCTGCCTTTTTAAGTAAACTGTTTAAAACATTACACATTTGCTGATCTAAATGTAATTAAATACACAGAACAGAACACCTGGACCTTTTTTTTTATCTTACCCTGAAGCAAAACAAAACTAATCCATGTCCTCTCCACACAGGCTTCGACCTCCTGGACATCTCAGACCAGTTTGCTCTCTTGTCCGTCTCCTCGCTGGAGGTCATGTTCCTGCTCTCAGCACAGCAGTTCTCCCACAACCCGGCGAGCCCCAGTCCAGGTGAATAAACCAGAGCGTGACCGAGGAACAAAAGCACATTTCAACACATGGAAATGACTCATACAATCCCCATTATCAGTCCTGCAGCTTTTTAACGTGTCCACACACAGCTGGCTCAGAGATGCAGAAACCAAGGAAAACATGCAGAGCAGGAGCAGCTCAGGTGAGATTATTCATACATAATAACATTAATAAAACCAATTCAAATCACTGATTGAGTCATTTCCTGTTTATTGATGTGAACAGGGGGCGGTGACGATCTCCTCGGCTCAGTGCTCAACTTCCTCCACAGCATGGTGGTGCTGCGTGTGACYGAGGCAGAATACGCCCTGCTCACCGCCACAGCTCTGCTCTGCTCAGGTCGCACCAGCTCCTCCGTGTTTGAATTATTTCTAATGATTTGTTTCAAATCTGTTCAACAGCCAGGAGAAAAATGAACACTGGATTACTTTTTCTGAAATTTGCTTCAAAGGCTGCTAAAATAAGCAAAACATTAGCTAAAAGCCTAAAGTAGCAAAACATTAGCTAAAAGCAGCAAATTGATTGCTAAAAGTAGCAGATGAATAGCTAAAAGTAGCAAAAAGTAGCCGATGGATAGCTGAAATTAGCAAAAAGTAGCCGATGGATAGCTAAAATGAGCAAAAAGTAGCCAATGAATAGCTACAATTAGCAAAAAGTAGCCAATGGATAGCTAAAATTAGCAAAAGGTAGTCGATGGATAGCTAAAAGTAGCAAAAAAGTAGCTGATAATTTAAAGTAGAAGATGGATAGCTAAAAGTAGCAAAAAAGTAGCAGATTGATAGCTAAAAGTAGCAAAAAAGTAGCTGATAATTTAAAGTAGAAGATGGATAGCTAAAAGTAGCAAAAAAGTAGCAGAAAGATAGCTAAAAGTAGCAAAAAAGTAGCTGATAATTTAAAGTAGAAGATGGATAGCTAAAAGTAGCAAAAAAGTAGCAGAAAGATAGCTAAAAGTAGCAAAAAAGTAGCTGATAGCTTAAAGTAGAAGATGAATAGCTAAAATTAGCAAAAGGTAGCCGGTGGATAGCTAAAAGTAGCAAAAAAGTAGCAGAAAGATAGCTAAAAGTAGCAAAAAAGTAGCTGATAACTTAAAGTTGAAGATAGATAGCTAAAAGTAGCAAAAAGTAGCAGATAGATAGCTAAAAGTAGCAAAAAGTAGCAGAAAGATAGCTAAAAGTAGCAAAAAGTAGCAGATTGATGGCTAAAAGGAGCAAAAAAGTAGCAGATTGATGGCTAAAAGGAGCAAAAAAGTAGCA